GTTAGTGCGACATGGGTGGAATGTGAAATGTTGTTGCTGGGTGTAGGGTTTGGTTTTTTTCTCCCCCTAACCGAAAATGGTTTTGAGTAGAAAAAAAATGTTATGCTGACCTTGCCATCAGAAGTGGTGGCACCGTGGGTAACCCAGGGAAAACCCCACTCCCACCTCCCGTGGGCTTGGCAGAGTGTGTTGGGGAAGATCCTCAACAGGTCCCACAGGGGCTTGCATTGTTGTTGCTGGGTGTAGGGTTTGGTTTTTTTCTCCCCCTAACCGAAAATGGTTTTGAGTAGAAAAAAAATGTTATGCTGACCTTGCCATCAGAAGTGGTGGCACCGTGGGTAACCCAGGGAAAACCCCACTCCCACCTCCCGTGGGCTTGGCAGAGTGTGTTGGGGAAGATCCTCAACAGGTCCCACAGGGGCTTGCATCTGCAAAACGCCTTGAAAGCTCATTAATGAGTCGAGGCCCTCTCTGGATGTTTCTGCTAAATGAGCCTTGCACGGGGACCCAAGCGAGCTGTCCAAACCCGTCACTCATGCCAATGTAAAGTCACTGTCACCTAAGGGCAGAGTTGATGGAGTGAGAAGTTTGGATGCCATGACAGCTCCTGTGTGTCTGATGGGAGAGGGGATGCCTCTGGGAAGTAAATTCCCTTGTGTTCCCACCGCCCTGACCTGCCTGGGGGTCCCTGGGGATGTGGGTGAATGCTGTGGAGACAGTCCTGACCCCCTTGTCCGGCACCTGCCCCCGCAGCCATGGGGAGGTGGGAAATGCCTCCCTGCCTTTTTATTTTTCGTCCCTCATTTTTGGGTCGGGTGCTCAGCAGCAGGCGTGAGCCGATGGGCTGTGGCCCCACTGATGCTTTCTCTTGTCCTCGCTGCGATGCCGACTCCTTTTCTTGCCGCTTCTCTTTGCAGCTGAAGAAGTTGCTCCTCTCTCCATCGCACGTGCCTCCGAGCTGCGAGGCTCAGCGGGATGGGAGCGCCCGGCGCCCGGGGACCCCTAAGTCCCGACCCACACGGCCGTGCACAAAGGTAATTCCTCGACAGGCAGAGCTCCAGCCCGTCCAGCATCCACGGCCCTCTGGAGCCGACATAAAGGAGGTCACTGAAGGACGGTGTCGGGGAGCGTGGGCAGCCTCTGAGCTGGGCCAGGGGCTGAGGACAGGCAGGGACTGTCACCACTGGCAGAGCAGTGCGTGGCATTCCCGTCCCTGTCTGCACCAGGGCTGCAGTCCGGGCTCAGCAAAACCTTCAGACTTCATCCTGAGAAATGTCTCGATCTCATTTGGACCCAAGAGGGTCAGGCCTCTCCCAGCTTCCCTGAGCACTGGTTTCTGAAAGCCCCATGTGCTCCCTGGCCGACCCCTCGCCCCGCTCCCCGCTGACTCACAGCCCAAACCAGGAGCCATCGGCCGGGGAGGGATGGGCTGGCAGCGCTGCAGAGCTGACCCCGTCACTTAAGCTAATCTGAAACCCAGCAGAAGTTGCCATCAAAGATTTTTCTGCTTTGCTAATGATAACTGTGTGGTGCATTAGGCCTGGCAAATTACATTGCCTGGGAA